GAAGACGACTGTGTAAGTAGGTTGTAAGTGGTGCTGCGGCTACGCCGGCCCCAACTAGGACGCTTCTAACCCGAAACACAACTATCTATCTATCTATATATATATATATACATATATATATACATATATGTTATCGAAGACGCCGAACACTTCAGAGCTCTGGGCCTGGGTTGTTGGCACATGTGGACGCTTTGGGGCCCCAGGGCTGAAGGGACTCGGATGGTTTAACTGTTTAAGGATTCGGGTTCGGAGTCTTCGTGCTTAGGATCCTGAAAAGAGCATGATGGAGGCTGCTGGGCGCAAATGCTGGGGCCGCTGCATGCCCTTGTCATCAATTAAGAACTTGTTCAGGGTTCCCTCGTGCGCGTAGCATACCTTCTGCACCTCGGCAGAGCACCACAGGCAGCTTGCAAAGTACGAAACCTCCGAGTACTGGACGCAACATCACGGAACTCTCAAAATAACATCCGTAGCCACGAGCCATGAACCGGAAAGGGAGGTCTGACAGAACCTTAAGCACGAAACTCTGACCTACGCATATGGGAAGAGCTCCCTAAACCCTAAACCACATATCGTAACCCTGAAAAACCCGTTAAAGAAACCCTAAATCCTTGAAAGAGCTCAGCCGTCCACGGATGACATCAGCTCCTGTGCCTGGCTAGGGCCGTTCGACGACATGACCTCGCCGTGAGCTTTGGGTCGTCCATATACATACATACATACATACATACATACATACATACATGTCTGTATATGTATACAAACACATAGTTATATCTACATGTCTATGTGTTTGCTTGCTCATTTAATTTGCTCTGTAAGTATGTGTGTATATATATATAGAGAGAGAGAGAGAGGGAGAGAGAGAGCGTGCTATTTACATTTCTATTTTTCTATTTAATTAACTATTTATGTATTGTGTCTGTCTATCTATCTGTTATCTATATTGCTTCGTTCATACATGCATACACATATACATGTATCTATATATACATATATACATACATACATACATACATACATACATACATCTTCGTGAATATACGTATACTATACTGATCGGTGGCGTTGGGGATCTCTGAAGTTCAGGGTTTCATGGCATTGAAGACCCCTCGTGCTTTAGGGGTGAAAGGTTTAGAGGGCTTGAGGTTTTAGGTTTGGTACGGTTATAGTTGCGGCTGAAAGTGTTCTACAAGGGCTTCAAAGGGCCTATGGCACACCTGGCCAGCTTGTTCCGGGCTCGGGTCATAAATCCCAGAGTTTAGGGTTGACAATAAAGGCGGAAGGGTTTAGGGGTTTAGGTTTTCCGACTTAAAGGTTTAAGGTTTCGGGATTTAGTATGTAGAGATTCAAGGCTTGGGTGTCTGCTTGAGGGCTTCCAGGTGCTTGGAGACCCTAAAACCTCCAAACCCAGAACTACGGCTGAGGGGGGCGTAGGGGTTACGGCGCGGGGATGCAAGATCGCAGGAGTCGAACCACCTCATTGCCGGTTCTTGTGATTCAGAAAGCCTTTATTAAACTCGCTGTTGTGCATTGGGGTTGGCCCGGGTTATTGTCATGTTGGCCGCCGCAAACAGCCAGACAGCCGTGGCAGTCACAAGTGCATGTCCCGATACAAGTGTACTGTTTGAGGTTCATGCTTTGGCTTCTGCTGCTCCGGACTCTGTTAGGCCTTTCATTTAAACCCCTAGATGAATCATTCAGCCAGCGACGTCTAGGCCAGAACCGTTGATGAAGATGACGGAGATGTTGCCTGAGCAGCTGCACCACCACAACACGCTGAAGCCTGTAGCATGACGTCCAGCTTCAACCGCCCAAATTTTCAGCCTAACTTGCAGCACATCCTTTAGCAGTGTCTATAACCTGTTCAACCGGGAACATGGGAAGGTCCACCACAAATGCTCAGCCAGGACACGCATCTCGTTGACGTACTGAAGGGTGCCGCATTCAATCTGCTTGAAGACGGCAGACGGGATGTACCGTCTGCACGAGGGACAACGATCGAGATTGGGGGTCCGAACTTACTTTTTCAGGTTTAGACGTGTAGTGTATAGGGTTAGGTGGGGGTAAGGTTTAGGTACGGGGTTTCGCATTGCAGAGCTTGGCACAGAATTCATTCTGCAAATTGAGAGCCTTGGAGGAAGCGTCTTCAGAGTCCACGGAAGGCGACCAAAACAGAAAGGAAAAACAGAAAAAGCTAACCCTAAATCCTAAACCCAAACACTAAGCCCGAAACCCTAAATCAATAAACCTCCAGTGCCTTGTGATGTTCAGCTGGTCAAGCTTGAAGCAGTTCTCGATGCGCGTGTCGTAGAGTTGAGTGGCATACTTGATGGTGGGGAAGGTGTACTTCGACTCATCCTTTGCAGACAGGATTGGAATACACAGGGCTTATGATTAGGTCACGATAGCGGTCTGTGGCAGTCTATGGTGTTTGAGAGGGTGAAGCGTTCTTTAAAAGTGCTCGAAATGGATTTTCACCTATCTTCGCATTAGGCTTCCAGGGCCCTAGGGCTTTGGGGTTTGAGCATTCAGGGTTTAGGAGCTTAGGGAGGGTGGAGGGTCTACAGTGCTTTGTCGGATCTGGGGTCCAAGCCGCTCCAGCCTCAAACCCGAAAATCTGAACCGCCCAAATCCTCACAAAAGCCCCTCTTGGAATCCTCATCATAGGAACCCTTATGTGTCGCCTTGTAGGCCCCCCCGAAACCCCTAAAAACCCCTAAACGCCACCGAACCCCGAGCTCCGGACCATCCGCAGCAGCAGGTGGAAGTCCATGCGGTCCTGGCATTGTCGGGTTCGGGGGTGGTTTTAGATCTTGGGGCCTTTTAGGGCTTTAGGGTTTATGCTTTGTAGGGCTTAAGACGTTTGGCTAAAGATTCTAAACGCTTGGATTTTGGGATCTTGGGGATCCTTAAGGTTCTGGCTTCTGCTTTCCGGTGGTTTCGACCGTAGGGGCTGAGGCTTCCTCACACATCACCTGGAGCCGAGAAGCGGCTGAGATTAGGGGCCTCGACCATTCAGGGCTTCAGGGATATATTCTACTATAAAGTGTGATAACCCTGAGGAATAGTATTTTCAGCTAGTCAGTCTGCACATGAAAGCTGGGTAGGGTTTAGATTGCATGATGTGCATTCAAGGCTCGGGTCATGGTTTGGATTTTACAGAAAAAACTGAAACCCACATCCAGAAACAAACATAAAAACCTAACTACATTCCCACGTCACACCCTTTTCAGCTGCTGCCGGGAATCCCAAAAGCCCTATTCAAAGGAAACTTCCGTCAAAACCTATGCCATCTAAGTTCTTAGCAAATCCATTGTTAAACCCCTGAGCCCTGGAAAAACAAACTCTTCCTTCCAAAACCCCTACAATACCCGATAAGACCTTTCATGCATTACAAGCAGGTCGTGGCTACAATCACAACATTCCTATAGTAATCATATAACTAGTCGTAATCGTATTCACAATGGTAAGTGTTTAGCAATACTAATGAAAATTCATCGTCACCATCATCATCATCATCATCGAAAGGCTCGAAGCTTTGGGCCTCCAGAGGGCGGCCTTCGATGACGCAGTCTTTCACCAACTCCCAGGCCTGGCGGAAGCGATTGGGAGTCTCGACAAAGAGCAATCGGGTGGCATCCCTTGAATATGCTATAGGGTTCTTACGAAGGTTCCCTTAAAGTTTGGGGGCTAAGGTGCTTCAGTAAGGGTTCCCCCAAGGTTTCATAAAGGTCTCATCACGAAGGGTTTTTGACAGGTAGGGTTCTATACGCCGGCGGTCTTCTTTCGGTCACAGGGTCTGCAGGAGGCTTCGTAAGGAGATATATGGCTCGTAGAGGTGTTGCATAGGTGTTCATACGAGTTTCGTTGGAGCTTTACAACGGTCCGAATTCTTCGCACCTTGAGGCTAAGGCGCCATGAAGCCACTCAGATGCAGATGCAAAACAAAGGCCGCACAAAGGAAACCAAATAACAAAAGTGACAGCAGACAACGCCCTTAAGCACGACCTTAAACCCTGAACCTCCAAGCCTACATCCAGACACTAGAATCCTAGACCCCAGACTAAAACACCTCCGAATCCTGGACGCGAAACAAAACATCAGCTCAAATCCGATGAGCGCTGAGCCTAACGTCTAGGCCGCGTGACTTAGTCGCGAAGCGGCCCGCGATCGATCAGAGAGCCGCTTAGGCACATCACTGCCGGAGGGTAAAGCCTCTGCAGCCTCTCCTCCTCCATGGCAATCACCAATGACGACTCCCTATGAAGAGAGGCCCTAAAACTTCATACCCGAGCCCTCTGTGACCAAAATCCAAAATCCAAAACCCAAAATGAAAACACAAAACCCAAACCCAAAATCCAAAATCCTAACCCCAAAATCCAGAATCCTAAACCCAAAATCCAAAACCCTAAGCGGCCCCCAGAACCCGTAAAGCGAGCAAAACCAGGAGGCCTTGGAAATGGGCTTCGTTCGGAAAAGGAACAGGCACATTGCAAAATCGACAAAAGTTGGGCTTTTGTGGGGCCTTCCATTTCAACGGCTCGCAGCGGCCAGAAATCCTAAACCCAAAATCCTAAATCCAGAATCCTACATCCTAACCCCAAAATCTTAAATCCAAAACCCAAAATCCTAAGTCCAAAATCCTAAACCCAAAACCCTAAATCCAGAATCCCAAATCCTAAACTCAAAATCTTAACTCCAAAACCCAAAATCCTAAGTCCAAAATCCAAAATCCTAAACCCAAAACCCTAAATCCAGAATCCTAAATCCTAAACCCAAAAAACCTTAAATCCAAAACCCAAAATCCTACGTCCAAAAGCCAAAATCCAGAATCCTAGGTTTTAAATCCAAAATCTTAAATCCAAAACCCTAAATCCAGAATCCTAAACCCAAAATCCAAAATCCTAAACCCAAAATCCTAAATCCTAGGCGGCCCCCAGCACCCGTAAAACTAGCAAAACCAGGAGGCCTTGGAAATGGGCTTCGTTCGGAAAAGGAACAGGCACATGGCAAAATCGACAAAGGTTGGGCTTTTGTTGGGTTCCCTCCATTTCAACGGCTCGCAGCGGTCGGAGAATCCTAAACCCAAAATCCAAAACCCAAAATCCAAAACCCGAAACCCAGAATCCAAAACCCAAAATCTTAAATCCTAAATCCTAAGCGGCCCCCAGCAACCGGAAATCCTTTCAGTTTTTTGAATAGCCAAAGGGGCCTCGGAGACCGAAAGCTTGCTACTTCGACGTTTTAACCTGGAGACGACTGCCGGCAGCGGGACCCAGGCCAAAACCTTGATACTTCGACGCTTAAAACTTCAGGACCACTGCCGGCAGCGGGAGCCGCACGACGTTGCAAGCTTCGAGACCGCTGCCGGCAGCAGGTGGCTCAGGCCGAAACCTCGCTACTCCGACGCTTAAATTCTCCAGAAAAATTCCGACAGCGGGAGCCTCAGGCCGAAAGCTTGCTACTTCCACGTTAAAAACAGACCACTTTATGACCTCAAGAGCACTGCCGGCAGCGGCGTCCCAGGCCGAAAGCTGGCTGCGCAGAGGTCATGCGCGTAATTTGTGACATCGTACAAATGGCTCACAGGCATTTTCCACGGCAGTTCATCGGAGTGCTGGTATTCAGATTTCCTTCTATACACAACCTCCTAAATATTACTATCAAACATCTGTGCGCAACTTAGGGTGCATCCTTCGGCTACAACTTAACTTCTGCGCGATGTGGAGCCGATCCGCATCTCGGCATCTGGATCGTATTGCTTGTGATTGTGTTTTGTGTGTTGGTATGATTAAGAACACGAAAAAATATATTTGAATACACAACGAACCTCGGGCGGGTTGGGCGGCAAGCAGCCGCGCGTCAGGCTTGGCACACCCTACACCCTAAACCCTGAACCCTGAACCCTAAACCCTGAACCCTAAACCCTAAACCCTGAACCCAAAACCCAAAAACACTCACCCCTCGAAAGCTGGGCGTGGGAGTCGCCTGGGGGCTCAGACACGTCTCGCCGTTCTTTGCCAGGGGCTCCGCCTGCAGATTCTGGTTTTGGGCTTTTGGGCTTTTGGGCTTTGGATTTTTTGAGCTTAGGGTTTAGGGTTTAAGGTTAAGCTTTACGGTTGAAGGCTCTTTCGGGTCTGAAGGCTTTGCTCGATTTGAGCTTGTGTTGGGCGCTTTCTTGGTGCTTTGGGGGAGCTTGGGGGTTCATGGGGGTTTGGGGTTTCCCGAACGTGACCCGCATCTTTGGCAAAACCACGTTTCCCAAAACCTCTTCGGGCCTCCTATGATTGAGTTTAGCATTTCAAGATGTCGGAGTTGTTGCAGTGGGGATCGGTGACTCCAGCTGGCCATTCCGAGACCGTTCAACCCAACGATCCTGCACATCTGTTCTGTTGAAGTTCACTGAAGTTGTCTACACATTCATGCTCCAACAAGTAGCGAACACTTGTCCTAAAGAGGCATGCACAGCCACACAACACGCCAGGAAAACGTCCCGGCTTCGACGTTTGAGGGTTCATCTGCTTTTAAAGGGGCTCGGGGTTCAGGGTATGTAGGGCTTAGCATAGGTGGGTGTAGGGTTTAGGGCTCAGGGTTTGGGAATTTGGGTTTCGGCTCCAAACTTTGAGCTGAGGGCATGGGCCTTGGAGTTTTGGCTGTCGGGTATGCACTTCTTTTGGAGCCGGGCTTGTTGACTTGTGTTTACGATTCCTTGCTTTAATATTTAGGACATGCGATGCAACGCTTCTCAAGCTTGGGCTCCAGAGGCTGTTTAAAGACCCACCAGATGTTAATTTTCTCAAAGCCCTCGGTTTAACATGTTGAACCCAACTCTACGATCAGATGCGCAAAGCCCTGTTAAAATTAGTAAGACAGCCAGTAAACCCTCAACCGTGTTTTGTTTAGACCTCCTGGCTTCAGCGTCCAGCTGAGATTCGCACAATGGAGATCTGCTCGAGCGGGGCTCCGGAGATCAGATACTCTATCCTGGCTTCGGCACTTTTGGGGGCTTACCAAGGGCTCCTTTCAAGGGTAAGGATGCCACAATGCCATTCCTTGGGGTTCCTTGCTATAGTCATAATACAATAATGTACTACCCCAACTCGGGTTCTTTTCATTAAGGGCCCTACATCGCCGAAAACCCTAAACCGCACTGGCTTTGCGGTACCCTGTCCTTGCACAAGACTGCGACATTGGGATGCGCGCGAAGGCTTTCGTGGTTAGGGTTGGGGTTTGGGGCTTAGAGTTTGGGGTGTCTTCTTAGGCGCAGGGCTTCGGGGTTTCAGTGGAGGGGCCACCTGGACGAGTCACGAGCAGCACCAGTGGCGGGACAGGAATCCGAAATAATAGGCCACCCTGAACCCTGAACTCGAAACCTTGAGCCCCACACTGTGAACCCTAACTCTCAACCCGTAAAGGTTGCTTCTGCAGGAAGCCTTCCTGCGTCCAGTTGCCTAAAATACTAAAAACAACCAAAGCGAACTGTATTGTGACTATATGCACAATCTTATACTACCCCGGAAGTTTCCTGGTCGATTACTAAGCGAAGGTCATGATCCCAAAGGTCTAAGGTCCAAAAGTTCATGCAAACCCTGAACCCCAAACTCCTTCACAAAGCCCTTCCAAAGGCCATAACAAAGGCATAGAGGCCCTCCCCTTCATGTACGTCTGCCGACCTCGGGATGTGAGTCTCCGGTGGAACGATGCCGCCCACCTGCGGAAAGTCGAGAAGGAAGTAGTAAGGGGGTTTCCGAAAATAGGGGACCCTAATATAGCACCCTAAATAGTAGGATCCTTATTATGAGCACCCCAAAATAAGGTTTAGACGAACTAGCTAACTTCAACCTGCTACACTAGAATGTACGGCAAAACATTATTCTACTTGTGACGGCCGTATATTGGCTACTGCAACAGCTTCATGGGAGTTGGATTTCTGACACTTTCTGGGTGGTGTTGGGACGGGTGTAAGGCAGTGTCAGGTTTAGGTTTTAGGGTCAAGCGCTTGGGGATGAAGGCCTGAAGAGCTTTAGGACTCAGCCCGCGGGCTGGAATGGCAAGACTTCGGAGTCTTGCGTGTAGGCTTTACGTGTCAGGTACACTGTCTGCGCAGTGGCCTTGACTGCAGCACTGCTACCAGTCTGTTCGACACCTCTGCCTGATCCGTCAAATAGAAGTAAAAGCCTCAAACCGCAGACCCAGCCCTTTTCTACACCCTAGAGAAGGTGGCCACCTGCAGGATGCTAATTTCACCACAGCCGACACCGATGTGCAGGCACAGCCGCACATCGTCAACACCTGGCCCAGGGAAGCAAGAACAAATTGCGCAACTCTACCCTCGGTCAACAAGACAAAGAGTGACAGCTCCAACAATGGAAGAATGCAATAAAGCTAGCAGGAGCGAAAGCTTACCACTGATTTGACCACTCTCACAAGAGGAATCAGGCATAAGATCAATACTGTAAGAAGAAGAGCTTCTCTTGATATTAGTATCGCACCACCAAAAACCACCATCGCCAGCGTCACCAACACCGGAATCATCGGGAGGATGACTCTCATCATTACCACGGATCAGTAAGATTTCTGCTGCGAATTACTATCACGGTGACTTGGACTTAGTGACGGGGATAAAACTATTACTACGTCTGTTGCGATCGCCAGCCTGATCTTTCCTTCTGCATGACATCACCATCCTCGTGTTGAAAATGCTACATCTCCGGTCGCAAAAACGAACAATGTGATGATCATCACCACTTACCGCGGTTAGGTGGAAACCCAACTGTGACGATGATAATTTTAGCAGTCATATGCGTTCTCATATTCACGCGACAGATACGAAAACGACGTCAACATTAAGAAACATAGAAATGGTAAATACAGCAGCAACACTCAAAGCAACAGACACACTTCAGAGAGACGATCAGCTCACATGAGTGCGGACACCGCCCCACACACTCATCAAAAACTACACGAACGCCAGGTCAGAAAACCTCACTCGCAACAGCAGCACAACACCACACACCACATCACACCACAACCACTGCCACTAGCACCACCACCGGCCCTTCGCTGCCACAACTACCACCCAAGACCAAAAACGGCGACGACGACCACCACCCACCACCACCACCACCACCACCACCACACCCGCATCTCTATTCTTTAGCCGGAAGAACAAGCGGGCAGGATCTGGATAGCACCAGAAATCAGCCGGTCCAGCCATGAGGATTTCGGGTTTAAGGAAGCGGTACCCGCCTGTCTCGAACATGTGCAGCCTCTTGTGGATCTCAATGCAGCAAGCAGACCTCAGCTTACCGGTCTCAGGACATGAAGGAGCCTCGAAGTACGCTTAGGACGTAGAAAGCAGCTAGGCTCAAGTCTAGGGCTTCTGCTGCTTAAGCTCAATGCACCTGGGCTTTAAGCATCGGCCTTAGGGGTCTTACTGCCTGGACCCGAAATCCTGAATCCTAAACCCTACATCCTGAACTCCTAAATGCTACGTAGACCCTAATCCCCTCACAAAGCTCTGCAAAACCCTTCAGAGCCCCTATAGGCTGCTTTGTGAACACTAGACCCATCACACCTCGAAACTCCGGAGACTGACAACCAGACCGAGAGCGGCCGAAACCCATCAACAAAGAGGTCTTTAGAGATTCCCCAAGATCCTGAGGCCCCGCCCCCCATAAACACACCGCTGTAGAATCCTTATGAAGCCTGTAAAGGAACGACAGCTCCAAGTGCTGAGGCCCCCATGTTATGGAAGCCATGAAGGCTGCGTTCCTTGTAAAGCCCTCTTTGAAAACCCTGCTGAGCCCCCTAGGCCACTTAAAGGAACCCTTCAACTGACCCGGATCATGACCCTTCGGAACCTGAAAGGAACCTTAAAGGAGCCTTCAACGAAGCCTTCCAGGAGACGTGAAGGAACCCTCAAAGGAACGTTCTAAAGGAACACCAAAAGAAGACGCAGAGAGAGCCCCAGGGGTCCCCGCGCTCGGAGGACGGCCGTTGCCATGGGGCCTCCCCGAGCAATCTGAAGCAGTTCTATACACATGGATCTCCGACGCATATATCTGCGCATCTACCTACATCTACTCACTTACTTGTAACATATTATGGTTGCATCGTATACATATATATATACACATGTATATATGCGTACATACGTACATATGTGTGGACTAGATAGGCTATGTGTCATGTGTATGTATGTATGTATGTATGTATGTATGTATGTATGTGTATGTATGTATATATATATATGTATGTATACGTAAATGTACAATATAGACATACATACATACATATATACATACATATATATATATATATATATGATTTTAGGTTTAGGGCTTAGGGTCTATGGTTTAGGGATAGGTAGATGTAGAGATAGATACGCAGATGGGCTGGCCCGAGCAGAAAGCCAACCAGTGCCCGATCGTAATGCAACGTTGGGCCCCTGACTACCATAGTTCAACATATGCAGCTCAATGCATAAGACAATGAAGACACGTGGTAAATAAAATTGTTTCGTTCTTATAGTCCTAAGACCGAAACCCCTGCACCCTGAATCCGGTTCTTTCTCAAGTCAGAACTACTGAGCGAGGACAAGAGAGCCTGCCACGCTCCTATTTCAACCTTCATAAGGACCCTCTTCTGGGTCTCGAACCTATCTAAGCGAACAAAACTGCAAAAGAAACCGCTGCCAAAGCCCCCTAATCCCACTTCATAAACCCCAAACCCGAAACCCTCCTAAGCCCCAAACCCAAAACCCCAACCCTTACAGTGAGCCTTGTAGCAACCGTTGCAGCAAAACCCTTACTGCAAAAGGAAGCAGTATAGCGACCCATATAAGAACCCTTACAATAACCCTTGAAGGAACCCTTCAAACACTGGCAGCCGCACCGAGATCAGCGAGGCCAAAACTTCCGTGTGGCGGCACAATGCCTCGAACATCGCTTTTTAAGTTCCTCAGGCTTCCTTGTAAGGGTTTTTTTGAGGGATACTATGCGGGCGACCCCAAGCTTTGCTACAAACATGACTGTAAGGGCTACTATAACGGCCGGGAGGCTTCGGCATTTAGGGCTTAGGGTTGTAAGGGTTGAAGAGCTGCAGTGTAGAGGTTATCGAGGTTTGAGTGTTCCCATGTTTTAAGGCTTCGGGGTTGCCAGGATGCACCGGATTTGTTGGTAAGATTTGTGGTTTGTAGGGCAGGGTGTCTCAGCAGGCCTTGAGGTTTAGTGTCATTTAGGGCTTCAGTGCCTTAGAGCCCAGGTATGCGGGCCTGATGCTTGGGTTCAGCGTTTAGGCTTTATGCTAGACATCAAAATTTCAACATCAGCGTCTTCCATGCAACGGCAACACCGACAACACATCATTTCTCCAAGCGTCCATTAAAGCTGGAAGTCTTGGTGTCGTCGACGGACGGAAAGTAGATCGTCCTTCGTTTCGGCCAGTTGTGCACACTCGGCCCTGGATCCTAATCGCCTGCACCCGAACCCCAACGAACTTCCAGAACCTAAACCGTAAAGACCCTAAAGACACTAAACCCAAATCCTGAACAAAAAAGCGAACCCGAAATCTTTCAAGCAACCCTTATAGCAACCCTTCTGGCAGGCCTTATGGTATCCCTTCTAGCAACCCCTATATGAGCAGACCAAGGTTCAGCGCATCTCCACTGAACTTGATGGTGTCTCCACGGTACGCATTGATGAGGTCTATCAGCGGTGTAAAGAAGGCCTCAGCTGCAGGAGCTCTAGGCGGGTTTTGGAGGTGGTTGCTATACGAGTTACTATGAGGGTTCCCGCCAGGATTGAGTGTCCACAGTTTTCGGCTTTGGGGGTTTGGGGCCTTAGGGGTCTCATGGTTTACATGTACCTGTGTAGGATTCAATATTTGGATGTTGTGGGGTTTCGGGTTGGGGTTTCCTGTGAGGGGAGAATACCCTACACCCCGTTGGTTGGCCTAGGCGCAAAACCACTTATTAGAACCCTTCAAAGCCCTCCGAAACCCTTGTCAACTCCAAAAGCCGGAACCCCAAAATCCCCCATTGGACCAAGCTAGCCATATTAGACTCATAACGGCCCATCATCATCATCATCATCATCATCATCAGTCCGAGTCATAAGCACAGATATACCTATACCTCACGCAACTCTAAACTCTAAATCGGTATAGTTACAACTGTACTTCACGCCTCCATGTTCTGTGCTCTTTGAGGCCCGAGCCGTCAGGCACTGAGAGAGGAGCTCGGCACCTAGGTTCAAAATGCTTTAGGGTTTACATCTTTAAAGCTGTAGAATTGGAGCTTTCACGGCCTTTAGACCCCTGCGGCTGGCTGACAGAGGTCGCATGATGCATTAAGGAATGCTGCGAATCCTCTGGAAGCCGTAAATGACTCCAGCTCTATGGCTTCGGGGATGGGAAGAGGACGCTGTGCACGCGCCAAGGCCGCAGATTTTATGAACAAACTTGTGTACAACGTCACAAACTCGGAGCAAACATCGCAAAGGCCGTGGTGGACCCCTGGGAAACGACGACAGACGTCCAGCGTAGAGGCGAATGCATGTAAACAGTTGCCCAAGTCCGTTTGTGCCATGTTTTGTCGCGTACAGCTGAGCATCCCGCCGTTGCTCTTCTTCGCTAACTTCTCAGTGAGGGCGGTGAAGCCACTCGCGTCTGAAAAGACGACACCTCAGCCACGAGATTTCGGGACCCCTTTCAGCCAGAAGACCTGAGACTCTACCCGCACACAAAGAGCGCCTCCAGACCCCTTGTGGATCACAATCTGCTTCTCGTCGAGGTTCCCTTCAAAGAAGGCCTTTCAGAGAAGTGGCTAAAATAAAAGGCTACTGCTATGAACCGCTATTCTGTATGTAAAAGTTAGTGATTAGTCTTCACCATGATCAAGATCATGGTTAATACCAAAAATGTGTGTGTATATGTATGTATGTATGTATGTATGTATGTATGTATGTATGTGTATGTATATGTATGCACATGTATGTACATGTATGTGGATGTATGTGTATGTATATGTATGTACATGTATGTATATGCATGCATGTGTATGTATTATGTATGTAAATGTATGTATATATCTGTATGTATCTGTATGTGTCCGTATGTATATGTATGTACATGTACGTATATGTATGTACATGTATGTATATGTATGTATATGTATGTACATGTATGTAGGTTTGTCACGCCATGCTGGTGAAATCTGGAAAGCTGTAAAGTTATTTAGGCGGCTTTGCAGTGAAAATCGGAGAAAAGATCGCATGCTCCAACATGCAACTGCAAATCAAGTTGCCGGTTGCCGCATGTCGTTTGACCGTTGGCGCTACACTGCATCGGACTTTCGGTTGCCGATGCTGCGCCAAGTTGTTTGTCATTACATGTGACTTGCGATCGCATATGGCCAAAGTCCAGGTGTTCCACCAAACCAAGATGTCAGTGATTGCGCGGGGATCAACATGTCAACGATGTACAGTATGAAGGATTTCCGTACATCAAGTCGGATACAAGCCGTTTGCGCAGTGTCGGAGCGTGCAGGGTTGCTTATTTAGCATCAGACTTTGAAGATTTTGGTGTTGAAGTGAAGGGATCGGCTACGGCATGGCAGCCACCGGCACGGATTGAAGGCCCCAGACCCTTCTGGGCATCCTTAAATCTGGAACTGCCAACGACAAGCGAAATGCTGACTCCCAAACTGACAGTGAAGGAGTGCATGAGACAGCTGTCGAGAGTTGCTATCCTGTGGAAGGCGGAGCCAGGAAGCTTGCCACGCACGTTCAGCAGATCAACCGTGCCCTTGACGCTTTTGACTGACTTGCATCCCAGTGTTGTCTGCGACATTCTGGAAAGCAGCATGCCCAAAACTACCCCTTTCCTGAATCAGAGCGTGGACATCTTTCAAGCCACGTGGGCTATGAAGGGCTGCAAGTGTTGCAGTAAGTATGGCAGCAGAGAGGCTCGTTGCTGCACCCAGCAGTGCAGTCGTCTGCATGGAGTTGCTTCATTAGCTGGAGGCGTGAACGCAACTCAGATGTGCATTCACCATGCGACGGGCAAGCTAAGATGCAATAAGAATCCTCGACCCTATGTGCCCTGATGACCTGACGTCAAATATTGGAGAGCAGACCCTGAGGCCCCTTCAAGCCAAGCCGGGCCTAGCCTGCTGCAGGATGAAAGGCACAAAGGCCAGAGCTCCGTTCAGCGTCTGGGTGTTCTGATCCTGCAAACGGGTTAGGGTCCAGGGTGTATTGCTCATTGCTATCAGGGGATGGCAACAGGCGAACAGAACTGTAAAGACCTCTCTTCCTGCGACGGTTGCACCGATCGGAACTCTAAGGCCAGTGCGTTCAACCAGTTTTTGACGCTGTCATCGAGCTTGTCAAGTGTGACGTTCGCCAGCCTTGGCATTCAATCGTCGGGTTAAACAGCTGCCCAGCCTCAGAATAGCATCTGATCCACTTCGTGGCGTTGCCATAGCTTGTTGTTGGTTGCTACATGACATGCTTTTCGTCTTATCTTGTTGTTGCTGGTCGTGGCTGTTTTGCTGCATCTTTGATGACAGCTGCTAGCAGAAGAAATTTTCCTGGTTCATACGAACTAATAGCATCACTGCACCACTAGAAAACCAAGACTTGTTCCTGCCACTGTATTGGTTAAGATTTGATCTGTTGACAAGATTTAGTGTCATCTGCATTGATGCTGTTCTTCGAAAAGCAATGGGGAAGTACTACTACTATAGTTACTAGAGATCATGACAGTGGTACTCTTTCAAGCCTTAGTGAGAATATACATACTTCGGTCATGACTGCTACTAGCTGCTGCTAGTGCTCGCCGAAATAGTGAGAACACTACCGTGGGTGTAAAGATGGCCACCTGTCGTAGTGGTGCTAGAATATACTGGTAGTTGCAGCAATAGCAGCAGTCACAGTCGCAGGAACAGGAGAAGCAGCAGCAGTTGTAGAGGCAGTAGTAGTACTAGTAGTAGTAGTAGTAGTAGTAGTAGCAGCAGAAGCAGAAG